GACAAAGACCAAGAGCTCCCTCTGGCACAAAATGCTGCAGGTACAGTAGTAAAAAGTCATACCAGCCACAGGTGAGATGTGACTTTCTGAGGCAAGTGGATAATTTTTACTTGATGGTGAATCGTTAAAAGTGAACCAGATGATTAAACTTAATGGAACAGCCACATTATACTGAAATTAGTGAAAACACGCCTCAGGCAGCCTACAACCTTTTATTTGTTGTTGTTTAACGTCTGTCTTTTACAGTGACCATGATGAATGACATCACAAAAGAAAAAATCCAATTAAAATCTAAGTGCTCAATAAACCCCTCATGTCTGGCTGTCACCACCACTTTCGCAGGCACTGATGTCTTAGGTTTCCTTTTTTTCCCAAGAAAAGAACTGACCCCAGGGGAGTTTGATGGCAGAGGAGGGGAGTGGGGGGAAAAAGCAGAGACTTTGGGAGGCTTCTGCTCCGTGTACTCTGTCAGACCCAGAAAATGCACTTTGGAGGGAGGAAGCGGGAGGGTATTAAATTGCTTTATTACCAGACAATGCGAAGAGAAGAGATGCATTTTCCCACTAGTTTTCAAATATTGATAAATCAGAATTGTGATCTGCAAAGCAATCCTTGCTCACATTCTTCTTTAACGTCTCCTCTGCCCTTTAACATTGTTTCAGGTGTTTGTTCTATAAGTCATCGAAATGGTCTCGCCTGACAGCTAAAAATAAGTTTCTGATTACTTTTACCTGAATAAGTCTTGTGCCCAGATGTGGAATTCACCTACTAAGTGTGCAACAAGTACATACTGAAACCGATGAAAGAACTGGTGGAGGAGAGTGTATAATCCAGTGGAATGTAGAATATGATAAATCACATGTAAAGATAGCAATTGCCCCCCACTGCCCAGTTAAAGAATACTGGCTTTTGATCACAGATTTTGCCTTAGAGATACCATGTGTCTGTAAAATTGGGTTTTCAAAGTCTTCAAAACAAAGTTCTCAAAGTCAAAATAGGAGGAAAAACAAGCTGATTATAAACCAAGAGTTAATAACGGTAGCACTGGCTTAAATTTGGGAGGCACTTTGTAATTTATAAGACCCATATTATGCTTTTATTGCATGTTTACATGGTGGTTAATGTACTATTTGCATGTGGTCTTCAATTAGATCTTCACAACAGCCTCGCCGTGTAGCTCTTATTATCCTCATTTTGCAGATAAGAATCCTGGCTGAGGGAGGTTAATTGACTCTGCTGTGGTCTTAACACTTGCTGAGTGATAAAGAATGAACGTGGCTCATGCCTAGGACCGTGCCCCCCACACTGTGCCAGGCTGCTGACCACAGCTGCCCTAGAGCAAGGATCCGCCAAGTGGTGACATTGGTTTCCTTACTCATGGGTTAATGAAATAGCTTTTTAAGAGCCTCTTCAGTCATTCGAATTTGACGATGGAGAGTCAAACTTTCCCCAGTGGCTCTTTGTGTGTCATGATGGTTTCAGCGTTTCCTTAGCATATCCCATCACTCAAATCATGGGATGCTCTTGTTTTACATTTCTGATTGCATTTATCTCACTTCTAAGCAATTTCCTCCCCATTCGAATTTATCTTCCATTATTTCTGCCAAATTGCTTTCAAGGCTACTAATTATATGAATAATATTCTCTTCCCTAAACACCACGATTAACTAGCTTTAGCTGTGTTACATTAAACACAGTTTCCCTACCTCTAAAAATGAGGAAGTTGCACCAAATAATCTATAAGGCCTCTTCCTGCGCTCCAGAGTTAATCTTCAGATTCTTTTCCCATGAGTTGTGTGATTTTTGGAAACGCAGCACGCACCGGATTCTCGGTTTTCTTGACTCTACAGTGCTGGATTTTTTAATTAGTTCATGTTTCCCAAAGTATCTTTTTTGGAAAACTGGTATGGGGAATATCCATATAAGTTATACCCAAAAAGGATTCTTTCAACAAGAAAGGGTAAACTAGATTACACAGAATCGAATATAGTTTCAAACTGCAGACACTCAGAGCCTCTGACATGTTAACAGTGACTCTAAAAAAGAGACCATATATAAAGTATTTCTTCCCCTCAGCACTTCCTGGAAATGACATTCCACGGAATACACTTTTAGACTAGGTTAGATGATTTTTAAAGTCTCTTTTTGCCCTAAGAGTCTATTTTCAAATGTGTAATGCTTCTCCGAGCATTTTGTGCAGTATTAATCAACAGGAGAAAGACTTGGCGTAGCTGTTGTTGCTGTTGTTGTAGCATAGCCCGTACTCTGTTTAGGCAGAGTTGAAACAAGATAGAGAGTAGCAGCCTTCCCACAAGACTAACTTCTCTATATACTGTGGATGCTTAAAACTCTGGGAGTTTATAAATAGTCCTCCTCAATAAAAAGCACTTTTTGAAAATTTGCAAATAGGGTTAAACTATCTGAAAACCTACAGACTGAATTTATATATATATGTGTGTGTGTGTATGTATGTATATGTATATGTGTGTGTATATATATGTCCTACAGACCTATAGTTAGGTCTAGGTACCATCTAAAGGTATCATCTAACCTTTTGCTGGGTGGGAAAAAGGGAATTTAGGAAACAATAGGAAATCAGCACTGTGGATATAATCTCTGGGAAAGGAAAAATGGATAAGAATCCTACTTATCCAAGTTAGGATTCTCATCTTCTCTTTCCATGGTATCCTTAGTATTCATTTAATTCTGCCTTTTACCCAAACTCATTTCACCGACAGTTAGTCATCAGAATCTCTGCTTGATTACTTTTAGGAGCAGGGAACTCACTACTCATAAGACTATTTCAATTTTAGGTTGGCTCAAATTATTACAAGGTCCTTTCCTATCTTATACTAAAGTCTAAATGTGAAATGTTACTGTTCCAAGTGACCTGTAAATTATCTAGTCAGATGATTTTCAAGGTATTGCCCGTGGCAGCACTTAGGATATTTCTCAAATGCTTTGAGTTGAATTTCATAAATAAATAAATAAACATCACATCTTCCCAGAAAAAAATGATTATAATCTCCATCACTAAAGACTCAAGGAAGTTGCCAAGCTTCCCTAAATTCACGAAGATAATAAATGTAAGGTAGAAATAGAATATACCCAAGTCTCTCTGATTCAAAAATCAAAGTCCTTTTCTCAACAGGATATTGCTTCTCTAATATGTTTGTGTACATGCAAGTGAGGACAAGAGTGTATTAGCGGAATGTGAAAGCTATAGTGAAAAATAGGAAAATCTTGAAGAGTTTCATTCCGGACACCCTAATATGTCCTTGGCCACCTTGCTATTGCTCTTGCCTTTTGTTTTCCCTTCTTCAAAATAAAGATTACTAAATTTTCTCCCAAACTCTGTTCCAGATCTGAAAAATTCTACGATTATAAAGAAACATGTGCATTAATGCATGGTATTTACCATTGAGAGGTTATGTAAATAGTAAAAACAAAACAAAACAAAACAAAAAAACCTGTACACCTTAGAAAGGATTGAATAAAAGTTAACATAGCATGCACCGAAAAGACAAAAACAGTTTAGAACCACATGCTTGACTTTTACTTTCTTTAATTTTTTTTTTCTACACTAGTTACATTCAGACCAGGATAGAGGAGATGGATCACTTAAATATATCCTTTCAGGAGATGGAGCAGGAGATCTCTTCATTATTAATGAAAACACAGGCGACATACAGGCCACCAAGAGGCTGGACAGGGAAGAAAAACCTGTTTACATCCTTCGAGCTCAAGCTATAAACAGAAGGACAGGGAGACCCGTGGAGCCCGAGTCTGAATTCATCATCAAGATCCATGACATCAACGACAATGAACCAATATTCACCAAGGAGGTTTACACAGCCACTGTCCCCGAAATGTCTGATGTCGGTGAGTGAGACGTGACTTCAGCCAAAAACTGGCTCTCCCCTGGTGCATCCACTGAGTAAGGAATCCCATGAGCTCAAAGTACGGAACTGCATGAATTTAGATGCTAACTTCTTCAATCCATGTGTGCATATGTTTCCTAATATTACTCTAGTCTCATTTTGCTATTATTTTTACAACCACATTTCCTCTAAAGAGGGTCTGAAAAGTGGCAGGGTGGGAGTGGGAGGTCGAAAGAGAGACCATCTCCTTTCTCTCCCACCCCTGAATGCCCATTCTCTTTCTTGGGCTGAAAGACAGCAACCTTCTCCACTTCTCTTAGCCTGCATGGGTGTTAGGGTCCAAGTAACAATCTCCCAAATAGAAAATAAAAACTTAAATTTACAATCCAGTCTAAAAAGTAGTGATAATTGATTTAAGTAACTAGTAACTCTATATTTGGGAAGGAAATTCAGAGAACATTTTTTTAATCCATAAATAATAGACACGTTATGTCTAGGGAGTGGATCCTTTGCTACATGGTGGAACTGAAAAGACTTTCATAACATACATACAGTGAATTAATATTTTATACACAATTCTACTACTTGTTTCAAATGGTGGATTTAATTTGTTTAAATAGAGAGACGTAAATAGGATTTAAATTAAGAAAAAGAATTCTACTGACATCACTCTTAGCCACATTGAAATACTTCATGGGAGACAGTGACAAATTTTAAACTACTTATATAAAGCGTTATTTTTATTTTCACTCTGTCAAATTCAAAAGGGCTGAAATTACATAATAACTTTATTATGATTCTGTCAGTTAGATATCAGAGACATTGTAGTTCACAGACCCAAGACATAGAAAATAACCAATCCATGGAAATCATTGTAAAACATCTACATTTTTCTTATGAAGAAATTGCTTCTCTCATTATTTAAAGCCACTTTGTTTTGTTACAAAAATTGCAAGCCTCACAAAGCAAAGAGGGAGATGATTGGATTTTTTTTTCTTCTTCTTCTTTTTCACTGGTTATAACAGCAATAGAATGGCATTCTTTAAATTTGTTAGGAAAAGTTTCTCCTCTATGTGGTAAAAGGCAGAAGAATTCATGAAGAATAGTCTCTTCATCAGCACTACTCAGGGCAACTGTAACCAGATATGCAGGTATTGCACTGCACAATTCTAGGGGGTGCCATTCACTTTCGAAGCCATTATAGAATTAAATTTGTATTATGAACATTTAGGGGTAGTTGACAGTAATATGTCTTGAGAAAAATAAAAAGGCTTTTTTCAGTTTGCACACAGACACAGTTATGTTGATATTCATCATCCTTAATTGACATCTCATTATTGTGACTATAGAAAGGCATCTTCAAGAAATTCCATAAAGGCAGTGGGACAACAGCATGGGAACAAAAATGGACTTTAGTATCAAACAGAACTGCATTTGAAACTATCTCCACTAAGAACCAGCAGTGTAGCCTTGGGCAAGTTATTTGATTTCTCTGATCCTCCAGTTCTGTATCTTGAAAAAATAAATAATAAATGTCAACTCCTAAGGGCTATCATGAGGATTAGATGAGAAAACAGGTGCAGAGCCCCTAGTACAATATCTGGCAATGAATAGACATTTAAAATGTCAGATATCATATTCTAAAAGCAATCAAATTTTGTGTTAATGTTAAATAAGAACTTGAATGTTTGTTGACTTGACTTTCACCTTAAAATCATAAGATGTTCTCAGATTCCCCACCTCCCTTGCCAAATTACAAGGGTGGGTGCTCTGTTTTGTGCATCAGCACTATACATTCAGAGCATCCAATCCTAACACACTACAATCTATTTCTTCAATAAGGGAAATTGGCTAGATATTACAAAAGCAATGTAGAATTCCTAATATTCCCCGGATGTAACTTCCCTACCTCTTTCATGGAAAGGGGAACTCCAGCAGTATGCTTACTGGTTATCTGATAAATAACAAAAAAACAGCCATTAAGTGATCTTAATTAGAGACTCTCATCCTTTCGGGAAGTCACAGAGTCCTTTGAGAATCATATAAAATCTATGGAATTTCTCCTCAGTGAAATAGACATGTAGGCATACACATAAAAATTTATGTGGAATTTCAGGGGGTTAGGAATACTTTGAAGATTATTAGGCAACTGTGGTCACTAAAATAAGAATGCTGATCTGAAATGTAATAGTGTTCTTTGTATATTTAATTATAATAACCTTTTGGAATTACAGATTCCAGATGTTTGTGCTCTGCTGTTCCAATTCATTGATTCTTTATGTAATCCATAACTACAGTCTTTAAGGTTCAGGGCCTTTTAACTGTTTAGAATTGTCAGATTTATCATTTAGGATGCTTTTATTGGTAAGTAACTGGAAATCCAACTCAAACTAGTTTAAACAACAACAAATAAGTATTTATTGGTCACATTACTTAAGTCAAAAAGTAAAGTGGGCTTTGGACAGGATTTGATCTGAATTCTAGCTGTTTTTCTGTAATTTTCTATTCTATCCAGCTTTGTCCTCAGGCTGGCATTTCCAAGATCACAAAATAGCTGCTGCAAATGTATATCAGCACATTACAGTCCAAGAAAAAGAGTATCTGTGACAGAATTTCCAGCAAAATCATGAGTGGCCCCTGATTGAACAATTCCTAAACTAATTCCTGTGGACAAAGGAAGCAAGATGCTGATTGACTTTGTCCAGGAGAACTCAAAAGAATCACTAAAGCAAGAGTCTAGTCAAATCCCGCCATTGGAGATGGGTTGGAATCAGTTCCACCCCAAGTCATGATCATTTCCATGCTTCTCTGTAACCTAATCCTTAACAATATTTCTAAATGTTGATTGTATTTCTTTACAGTAAAGAAGCCAATCCTTTTTCACCCAGCATCCTACCAAAGTTTTCGACTTCCTCAGCATGATATTCCCATACAAAATTAAGATCGTGCTGGTTTTGGTGTGTGTCAAAGATTGACATGAACTCTCGATGTGTTTTCAGTTTATGTTTCTGTTATTACAGGTACATTTGTTGTCCAAGTCACTGCAACAGACGCGGATGATCCAACTTATGGGAACAGTGCTAAAGTTGTCTATAGTATTCTACAGGGACAGCCCTATTTTTCAGTTGAATCAGAAACAGGTTAGACTTTTTGATCTTCCTTTTTATAATCTGTAATTTTAATTGACATGCTCAGCTGAGCTAGCGTATTTTTTAATAAAAATAATCAGTGTGATTGGATTTTCTTGCATACATCCACCAAATACTAATGATATATTTGTAAACATGACATCTGAATCCTTGTAATCAAAAAGTCTGGCAATGAATCTTTCACCCACCCTTTCTATGGAGTAGATTGAGAAAAATTATGTATTGCCTTAGTTTTCTTCCAGTTTGGGGCGAAGCTAAAAGGTCAACCCCTTTTTGATAGCTATTGGCCTGTTTACAAATACTCGGAATCTTCTTTTTCTAATTATTTAGTAGGATTGTGTCTCTCTATTCTGCTCTGAAACTAGATGTAGCCATGTGATTTATTTGGTTGAATAAATGTGATAATGATACAAGTCACTTCTTAGTAAAATTTTCAAAGCTGGTACACGATCTGCCACATTCCTGTCCCTTGCCACAGTTATCATGGAAACCAATGTTGAGATGTAGTCTGTAGCCTGAATGTCTGAGTGGTATGGTGAACCAAGCTACCTGCTTACCTACTCAGAGCCTGAGCGAAAAATAATCTTTAGTTGTGTGAAGCCACTCAGATTTTGCATTGTTTGTTATCACATCATTGTCTAGCCCATCCTAACTGATGGAGTCCTAATCAAAGTGAAATGCCATCTGGAATCCTCTTTTCAACATCTCAGTTTTCTGTTTCCTGTATTTTCTCCACAAAGTAGCAACCTATCTTATAATGATCTGTTTTTAGCAAATATCATTTGTATTGTATAGTAAATTCTATGCATATTTTTATCATAATGAGTCAATTTCCTTTTATACATTTTTTAAACATCCATTATTCTTGGTAGAAATCAAAACCTCCCTAGGTTCCCACATCCAGTTGGAAATCTCTGTGTTAAGTGGTGCAATGAACTTGGAAAGAATCCCAAGGAGAAAGAAAATGTTGAGTTGAAAAACAATGAGGATGAAAAATTAGAATTATTCAGCTTAAAGGACAAAAGGCTAAGGTGATCTCCTGTATTTAAATAGAGAAGTACTATTATTTGGAGAACAGAAAGCAGCTGTACTTTCACTGAAGCCCAGACTATAGGAATAAAATTGATCTGTTATCTGAAGTATTCTTGTTAAAAATTTTAAAAAAGATATTTTCGCTTCATTAGTTGTTAAGCACTAGAATGTGTTTCTGCAGAAGGTTATAAAGGCTTCTCCAGTGAAATTTGAAAGTTAATTTAAGCATAAACATTACATAGAAACTGGGCAAACTTTTAGAAGTTCTTTAACTATTTTATAACGAACTAACAACAGAGATAAATTTAACCTAACTTAAAAATTTTGGTTGCCATTGGGGCCAGTTGAACTAAAGTTCACGGTCAGCTTTAGGAATTCTAAAAGGCTGAAAGACCTTGAACCTTAATTCCAAAATTCTCTAGAATCATACAAGATGATCATTATGAGAGAATTGATGTTCTATTTTCTAAAGACCATAGTTTTACAATTTAGAAAATCCTCAGAGCATTCATTATGGTAAGTGTATCTGAGGGGTAATTAGTTAATTCATAATGGGAAACTCAAGAGTCGTTCAAGTATGTGACTTTCCTAACAATTTCCTCATAATTCACCTAAATGTCTTTTATCAAGCAGCTATTGTAGTACACCTTTATACCACAAGTCATTTTAGATTTTGCTGTGTCATCTTATAACACTTAATATTTATACATCCATAATGTAATTATAATATTGAGTGTCTTATAACCCTTAATAGTCTATGCTATTGCAGAATCTGACTTGTACTTATTTTTATTCTCCTTGTATTACAGCCTTCTTTTAATGTACCTATCTCCCCTGTGTGATTGTAATATCCTTCAGTATAAAGGCTGTATGTACTTATTTTTATATCATCATGACATCTGCATAGCATTCTGCATATTATAGGTGACAGTTTATGTTTGTTTGCATAAATAAATGATTCCATAAAGTATTCTTAATGCATCCCTTTGCACTCTTAAATTTCACATCCACAGGTATCATCAAGACAGCTTTGCTCAACATGGATCGAGAAAACAGGGAGCAGTACCAAGTGGTGATTCAAGCCAAGGATATGGGCGGCCAAATGGGAGGATTATCTGGGACCACCACTGTGAACATCACACTGACTGATGTCAACGACAACCCTCCCCGATTCCCCCAGAGTAGGAACATTTGGTCGAATGAGTTTCTTCAATGTGCTTTTATAAAACTTGAACATTAAGAGTTTTTATTTTCCATTGTCATCATTATTGTCAAAGTTAGTGGACTTAAGAAGAACTGGTACTTTTATTAAAAAATGAGTTGACAACATGGCAACGCTCAGGAAATGTGAACATTTATGTTCCTGTATTGGTAATTAGCTGAGTGATTTCTGCTGTTGTTGTAAAGGCAACATCATTGTTTCATTTTTCCTTATTAAGAAAACTACCACAGACATAAATCTGCTCATGCAGAACATATGTATACAAGCATGCTGCAATTTGTTAGGAAAAATTTGACTTTATGTTTTGTGAATTTAATCAGGCATGTAATCTCTTTTAAATCCTCACAAAGCTTTGTAAGGGGAGGATTTATCATTTTACTGTTTCTAAAAATACAACTGTGGAAGTAACTAGGTACTTAATTCATTTGTAATCATAAATCGTTTTCTACATTATGGTTAGTTGAGATACCGAAAGTCGTCTCCAAAATCATTAACTCTTGTGATTAGATAAGAAGGAAGAAGAAGGAAAAACAACATCCATGAATACCACCTTGGTATCAGAAGTATGCTAAAAATTCTCACAAAAAGCTACCCAAGAGGGAACTGGTTTTAACGTAACTTTTCTTCCAGGAACAAAATCCCTTTGGGACCATGATGTCCTACAAAAGCTATCTTAATTATTAAATAGAAAACCCACTCATTCTATCATGGCATTTTTAAAAAAACGAATCAGCTAATATGGGCTTCCTTTAGAATAGAGATATACATGAATCAACAGGAAGTAGTTTTATTTTCTTTATTTTTTCAAGTTTTTAATCAGAGTTAGCTAAATGCAAAAAGATCAGAGCTAATTAAAGAATATCTGATATAACAAGTTGAAGAAAGGTTCTGTGAGGCCTACCATTTCCTTTACACAGGCTTGAAATGAAAACTATTAGGATCACCACCAGTTTGCCCAAAACCTCCTTTTTAACATGGAGATTCCCTGGGGAAGAATAACAAAAGGATTCCCCTGCACCCTGGTACCACAGGAATTTGTAACTCACTCTGCTCTGCTTAGATAGCCTGTGACTTGTTATTGAGCAATATGCCAAGGCAAGGGAGGGGAGAAGATAGAAAGGGGCAGGAGGCCCTAAAAATGGAAGTTGAAAACACTAGAGAAATACTTAACCTGGGGTGCACCAACTCATTCCTGTAATCCCAGAGCTTTGGGAGGCTGAGGGAGGAAGACTGCATGAGGCCAAGAGTTCAAGACCAGCCAAGGCAACATAGTGAGACCCTGTGTCTACAACAAGTAAAAAGAAATTAGCCAGACATGATGGTGTGCACCTGTAGTCCCAGCTACTCAGAAAGCTGAGGTGGGAGGATTGCTTGAGCCCAGAAGTTTGAGGCTGCAGTAAGCATGATCATGCCACTGTACTCCAGCCTGAGCAACAGGAGGAAACCCTGTCCAAAAAAAAAAAAAAAAAAAAAAAAGCTCTTTTTGAGTTGCATACTTGAGTTAACCTGCTTTATCATTTTACCAAGTATGAACTCATTACTTAGGGGATTACTATTATTGAATGCCTACATTTTAGTAGTGCCATAGAGTGTTTAAATTCTTTTCAAATCATTTGTATGAATGGTTGACAAAATGTAATGGAAAAGGGTAGAATAAGCTTTGGTTTTACTATTTTATATTTTTGATGCTAAGTACATCATGGTCTGGCCAATCTAAACTGTAATTCATATGTAGTCTCTCTAAACTAAGTTTGCAACAGGAGCATATTTTAAAAAAAAAGTTTCTGTATAGGAAAAATGGATTTCAAATTAGTAATACAAATATAAGTGTGGGAGAAACCTATGCATAAAATAATAAAATTTAGGAGTCAAAAGAAAAAAATTAGGAGTTTTATCACTTAATGTATTTACCTATATCTCTAACTCTGCCGCTAGGTCCAGCTCCATGTATGAGTTAAAGAATATCTACTTGGATACAGCTTCCAACTTGCTATAATTTCTTTCCACCTCCAGCTATTATTAGCAATGGTAGAAAGAACTCTTTTAAAGAATACCTGGTAATTAACTTAAAGTCGCAGTTCAGATTAAATTCTTCTCTACTCTGTTAGATTAAGTTAACAAAGGGCTTTGAAGCCTTCTGTGCCTCCTGTAGCAGTTCAGCTGTTCTCACAATCACACCGTAAACTTTGGAGCCTGTTTACAGGACAAGAAAAGTGTTCTCCATTTGCAAGGAGACAGGTCATGAAATAGAAGAAACATTCTTAACAACCATGAAAGTAGACATAAGAAGAACAGGCCACCATTAGTTATTTTGAGGAAAGCACAAATCTACCTGATGGTAGTGTCTTAAAGAACTGTTAGAGAATAGGTTTTGTTTTTATGATAATAGACTGTGGTTAGTGTATGTTTGACTTATATCTGTCTGGTGATTAATAGGTACATACCAGTTTAAAACTCCTGAATCTTCTCCACCGGGTACACCAATTGGCAGAATCAAAGCCAGCGACGCTGATGTGGGAGAAAATGCTGAAATTGAGTACAGCATCACAGACGGTGAGGGGCTGGATATGTTTGATGTCATCACTGACCAGGAAACCCAGGAAGGGATTATAACTATCAAAAAGGTAATGCCGCTTCTTAAACACCATACAAAGTGAACCCATTTAGCTTTCTCCAGTTCCTAAATTACCAGGGGCAATTATGTCTCACATAAACATTCCTTTAGATTTTTATTTGACTTATTATTTTCAGAAAAAATGCCAATTCTGGCCAGGCATGGTGGCTCCCGCCTGTCATCCCAGCACTTTCAGAGGCCGAGGCAGGAGGATCTCTTGAGTTCTGGAGTTTGAGACCAACATGGCAAAACCCATCTCTGTTAAAAATACAAAAATTAGCCAGGCGTGGTGGCAGGTGCCTGTAATCCCAG